CTTTCTGATAAAGAAGTCATCTGGCCAGCAGTAGTATGTGCACAACAATTTTAAATTACACAAATATTTCATTGTTTGAAATCTGATAATCTTGATAAGTCTTGGTAAAGGTGATCTTCAACTTTTTCCCCCACACATAAAAAGGAAAATGATGATTACATGTCATAGTCCAATGATTATTTGGCTTTCTTGAAAATTAAAATGTCTCTTTAAATGAATAGGTGGATGTCTTGCACCTGTCTTTGGGTGTCTATGTGTGTCTGCAGCCAGTTTGCTGAGGTGGTTGGAGCACCTTGCCAAGGGAGAGAGTCAGGAGACTATAGACTATAGAATATCTTTGGGGGGCTGTTTGAGAAGATGGGTAATTCATGGGTGAGGCTGAGAGTATGAGTACCTGAAACCATACAATCTTGATGCCTGTTAGACAAAGATGTAGAAATGGTCCCAAGAAAGGAATATACTTATATAGAATTGTCTCTCTGAGTCTTTATCTAGAGGAGAATGTGATCACAAGTTTTCTTTTTACATTTGCAATTTAGAAGCACTTATTGAAATGTTCAGATTTGTTAATATCAACGCTTTAAAAGATAAAAATGTGAAATAAATCATGGAAATGAGAGGCCAATTTTGTTAGAGAAAAATTGTCAAATAAGTATGTGTTATAGGCAAGATGTATAATCCGGATATTATGAGCAATTCTTAGTATATGCCTAGGAATCCACTAGAAGCTATTTTTAACAGAGCTCAGATTTCTTCCTATGATACATCTTTTCCTCAGTTCACCCTTCTCCTTATCATGCTCAGCGTGCATAGATTTATATACTACATAATTATGGCATATTCTTAGGCACACACATAATATCAAGTCACTTCAGTATCCATTTTTCCTTTCTCATGGAGAACAAAGTATTTCCTGCTTCATTAATGTGATAGCCTCCATTAACACCTACTTTTATGAAAAATGTTACCCATATCATAATTTCTTTTTGCTAAGCTGATAACGTAAGTCTACATCTCGATATTTCACATATATATTTATATCTGTACACTTTTTTTTTGCAGGGAATAAGCTATGATACAAATTTGATTGTTACAGTTGAATTATGATGGATTCAATAGGACAATCAAAACTGGTTTTTGGGAAGGCCTTAAAAATTAGCATTCAAAAGTTGGTTTTTTCCCCATTTTACTTCCTATTACCTTCAGAAAGAAAATGACATCCATTTGAGAAAAAAACTGCTGCTATAATTTAAATAAATTCTCATTATATATAAAGATAACATGCTATATTTAGTTTGCATGTAAATTTTATGTAAAAGGGAACTTCTGATATGAATATTCATTCTCATATCCCTGGTATTCTATGTTAAAAATCAAAACTTTGAATAAATTAAGAGTGTCAAGGTCATGGCCCATCAGAATGTAGAAGTGACCAGATCTCTAATCTGGCCCATGGCTCCTTTGAATCCATCATTCAGTCTTTCCAATAACACTTTCTCTCAGACACTTGAAAGGTATAGGTCTGTCATCAGGCCCATATGCTAGAACTATCATTTTTCAGTTTTTACTCTAGTTTAAATGGGTAATGTGACACTCTGAGTGCATTGGTGTCTATGTGTCTAGAATCTGCCTATCTATTGAGATAGTTCTAACTGTATTATCTGTGATTAGTTTTCTCTTTTGGTTAGGACTGTATCTCCAGATGACCACATCCTAAGTTTGATCACTGCATGAGGCCTTTAGATTTCTTTGCTTATATGCTAAAGCTTATCCTGACAGCAGACATCCACAGGAGTGTTGTTTGATGGGAGAAAGAAGGGTCAGTAACCTTCCATACAAGAAAGTCTGAAGGAAAAATCATTCAAAGGTACAGCTTATCAATGATTCCGCAGTGGAAGAATACCAGGGTTATTGCAGACTGTTTTCTCAAGATATAAAACTCAGTAGACTTCAATTTAAATAGTCAACGTGATGTTGAACTTCCAGAGGAAAGATATTGAAATAACAGGGAAAAATTATTCTACCCCTGTACAAAATCGCAAGATATCTGGATCTGTCAGACCAAATAAGTTTGTATTGTAGAAACACAGCAAAGTATATGAAAGAACAGAAATTCCAAAGCAAAAACATACTTCTTAAGGAGATAAAGGGATCAGTTTGAGAGATTATACTCTGCAGTTAGAAAACTTTTCTACTCAGGAAAAGTTAAAATTTATGGTATGAATATATAAAACAAATCAAAAGTCTTTTTGTCAGGATTATACAAAGGGAGGTATAAAAGTTATCATTTCTTATAAATTATATCATAGGTCTGGGGAATAGCCCCTGAAAACTGAAGGAAAGTAAAGCGAGGAGGAAGGAAAAAGCCTTTCTTTACACAAAAAGTAGCCCACAGAGTGACGTGGGTTGAAAATCTAAGTTGGTTCAAGAAGACTTGAGAAAAACCCATGCATCAACCCTCAATCTATCACTGGGAAAACTAACGTGATGAGAAACATATTTGTAAGCCATACTCTTCTCTGTAAGTCATTCAGTCTTGTTATTTTAAACCTAGAACCTCACAGCGGAGGGACTGTGAAATGTTTAGCCACTGACTTTTTACCAGACAGCAGTATTAATAAGGAAGACAAGATAGAAGTCTCATTAATACAGTTATGAAATCAGACCAGGCCTTTTTGTCTATATCCCACCTTTGGTCAAAGGTTATAGCATTCCTACCCTGTTGTCTTTAGTCTCTTCCCCACCTACCCTGGCTTAAAAAAACAATACAAAACAAAACATCTTTTTCTGCCCTAATAATGACAGCTCCCCAGCACAGGGCAATAGGACTCAATGGGACTTTGAATCTTTCTTTTTTTTTTTTTTTATGAAGATACTGGAAATCCTGAGAGCTTGTGACCACTCATAATTTAATAGTTTCTTAGTGACAGAACCTGGTCATGTATTCAAATACAGTGCTTTTTCTACAAGAGCCCAATAACATAGTGAATATAGCCTTTAATCATGGATGTATCAAAACACTTAGAACTCAGTCTGAGATATGAGACACTCAGAATTCACTAGCCTTGACAGGCCTATCTGATATAGAAAATTCTTTCTCCATGCCCAGGTATTTAAACAGGAGGATCGTTCGTATATATATTTTTTATTCTAGAAAATCTCTTTGCATCCTAAAAATTCCCAAGTAAATTAATTGCCTAAGTCAGGATAGCTTAAGAAAATGTTGCCTGTAGAAGATATTTCCCCAGGCTGGAATTTTAGTTATCACAATTAAATTTGTACCTTATTTAACCATTCAGCTGAGGATTGGATATGATTTCTAGCCAGCTTTCATGGAAAATTCTATTACAAGTTTTGCAAGAAGGAGGCAGCCAATGACTCTTTTAATTGCACAAGTTACTAAAGGCTTGAAGCTTGTATTTTTTAATATTATTTACTGTTTTCTGACATGTAACATATCTCATTGTTTATTATCTATTTCCTCTAGTATAATTTAAGCTTCATAGGGGCAAGGAATTCCTTCTCTCTTTTTTTTTTTGTTTTATTTTTGTTTTTTTACTTTTGTATCACTATTGCCCTGCATTTCACTTACTATACAGAACGTAGTCTATATATTTTCATTAAGTGCATAAAGGAAAGTCTAGAAATACTATCTCTGCTTATACTGCATTGTAGCTATGGCATTTTTCAAAACTAAATAATCTATATTTCATTTGGAATATCAATTTTTAGACATTCTATGTAAGTTCCCCATAATGGGAAATTTAACCTCCAAAATGCTTCTTTAAGAATTGTTTACAAGAAATTTTCCATGAAGAAATGTCTATAAAGAACATATTCCTAATGTAAGATATTTAATTTAAAAGGGAATGGGCAGGGTAATTTTATATTGAATATCAACTACAATGTCATAATTATTTTATTAACCTTTCTCCTAATTTAAGCAAGATCACACTTTATGCATGCCATATTAATGAGAATGTACTCTGTTTTAAAGTTCACCTAAGAAGGTGTTTTTTCCAACATTTGTAAAACATATCAAATCTTGTTCCTATGTACTTTTCTTATTGTCAGTACTTAGAGTAGTTATAATGTTTAAAATCAAAGAGTACCTCTATCTCAGATTCAGATATAGTCCTGTTTTCTTTCCTGCCTTTTCCACATTTTACAATTTCTCCAGTAATTTTGACAGTTAAGCCAAACTGATCTTCTGAGACTGTGAATCATGAAATTTTCACATATTTTCTAATTACTAAATGATGAGATGGATATGATACCAGAGAGGTTTAAAATGATGAGCTAAATTGAGAAAATATGATTTTTAGCAAAACACAGTAGGTTAGAGGAAAGAGTAATTAAAATGTGAATTTTAACTATGGCTACGATAAGAGAGTAAAACCAAGTTTTTACCAGCTACTTTAAGCTTTTCTACCTTGATTTCTACAGGTCCCAAAACATTTTTCTTTCTATGGAAAGAACAGAGAGAGATTGGAGGATGTCCTAGAGTTTAATTTTCTATTATTTTGGTTGAATATATAATTTCAAAGATAAAGTTAAATGGATTGGTTTTAAAGAATGGTTATAGTTACTTTATGTACAGAATTACTAATTCTGCCGAGTTATTTGTAATTTGTCTTTTGGAAGGTGTATCCATTAAGAAAACTACAACGATCAGTTACATATGGCCAATGAGATATGTCGAAAGTCTTTATAAGACAAGCTTACAAACAAAAACCCAGAAAATCATTCATGGGGCATGATGTCATTAAAATCTGAAATCTTAAAACCTACAGTTACATTTCATAGGCTGCACTTGGGGGCAAGTTCCCCAAAACTTGCAAAAGTGTTTATTTAGTTTGGGGATCAGGCCTTGGAGCTAAAATGGTCAAACCTGTTTTCAACATTCCTGTGTCCCAAACTTTAACGAATATTCTTTTCTGGGCAACAAAATTCCATGGCAGCAACACGTTTTATTATATTTTCTATAGTAACACATTTACCCAGGACCCACGGTAATATCATCCACTCGACGATGGTTGGTGGTGGACCTTGCCTGTTCAAGTCTGACCTGTCGATGTGCTGAGAGGCAAGCAGCAGCAGGAACAAAAAAGTCAAATAGGACGCTGTATGGCAGATGAACTTGATAAAGGGCTTTCTGATGAACAGTCCCAGTGGGCTTTTAGGAGCTATAAGATAGCACACAGAGAAGACGGGAAAAAGGAGTCCTATTATGAAACACGTCACCATCTTCACTGCCCAGTGTCGTCTCCTCCAGCCCGGGAACTCATCATACCAGCGAGATGCAAGCAGTTGTTGACAGTTGGGCTGAGCAACAAACTACACAGAAAGGAAAGGAAAAGCAAGAGTCAGTGTCACATATGGTGGATTCAGTTCATCAGTAAGACCACAGATTTATCTTTAAAGCCAGAAGTTCTGCTTTAAATAATTTTATGTTGGGTGCCTGGCTGGCTCAGTTGGTAGAGCAAATGATTCTTGATTGTGGGGTTGTGAGTTTGAGCCCCACCTTGGGGACAGAGATCACTTAAAAATAAAATTTCTTAAAAATTAATAATTTTATATTTAAATAATCATTAAGTCCTTGAACTCATTCTGTGAATAAAGCCTCTTTATGTAATATTTTATACCCAAGGCATAGTGCTATGGGCTTAATCAGATGTGACAGAAATCATGGTTGTACAGATGTAAAAATACAGATGGAGAACAAGAATAGTCATAGGACACACTGATGAGTGAGCAAAGTTGTGTACAAAGGCATACACACACACACACATATATATGTACATATATATATGATATATATATATGGCGCAAGAAAAGATGTCAATAGTGCTTGTTTCTTAGTTTACTGGTTGTTTTCTGGTTATGACATACTAGATTTCATTTTTATATTTGTGTATACTTTTAACATTTTCTATGATAAATACTTACTATCTTTTTATCATCAGAAAAAGTAATTATACTTTTAATTGGGTTGAGACATTAAGAAAAACATACATGAAAGCATATTAGGATTACCAGAATGTAAATCATCGTAGCTGAATTTGGTGGAAATAAAACCTATACTTGCCTAAGTATAATCAATTACCATATACCAAATATTTCACAAACAGCATTGTTTTATCTTGCCAACATTTTGGGGATATAGCATAGACCTTACTCTCTTTTAAGGATGAGGATACAGGGTGTTATAAGAGGTCAGTAAATTTATTTAAGGGTACATATCTAGTAAGTGATAAAACATTTGAGTAACTGGTCCGGGATTTTTTTTTTTTTTTTTTTCCTGCACACTACATTTCTCACTGGGACTGACGGCTGGGCATTAATATAAATTCAGAGGGAATTATTTCTTCCAGATGGAATGGTCCAAGAATGCTGCCCAGTGGATCTGGCTTTGAAGGGGCAGATTTGTATAAGCAGAGAGGAGAAGGGGAAGGCAATTAAAGGCAAGGTATGGGGAGGGAGAGAACATACTCTGGCAAGAAGCGTTTAAGGGATGCCCCGTGGGCACTGTTGACTGAAGGAGAAGCTTTAGTGTCTTGTAAGGGACTTGGAGAAGTTCCTTTGATATTCTTTTTCGTCTTCGGTTTTAGCCTGTATAGATCCCCTTGAGACAAGACTTGCCCTTACTCTTTTTTGGTGGTGAGCAAGCAAAAAATCCCTGGGTTCACATAATCCCATGATTATCACAAACTAAAAGCTCTTTGAGAGTGAAATCAGAGAAAGGATGATTGACTAAAAGAGAAATTCAGTAGTTGAGATGTGCAAACATATCAACTGGACATGAAATGATTTTTCATGCAACTGTTTCTTATCACCTTGTCTTGGATACTCTACTCATCAAAGGGCACAGAGGGCAAAAAATATGTAATAAATCAAATTTATAATAATGTGCTTAGTAAATATAGATAAAATAGAACTGTGTTTCATCAAGACTTAGATCATGAGGGCTGTCTTCATTACTTTGAAAGTAATTAGTAAAATCAAATTTTATAACCCAAAGAATAGCTTTTCTTAACACAGTCCTTGCCTATTATTCTGGTCAAAGTCAGGCATCTGGAAGTCAAAATAGAGTTCTTGCTGATATAGATGCAGAGTAATGGCAAAGAATGGTAAGTCGTTAACAAGCCCTGTCCTTTTTAAAAGTTGTCCCTCCAGCACATACAGGATCCTTCCCACCAGGGTTCTATAAACAAATCAGTCTTTCATCTTCTTTCTATTTTTTTTTTCATATAAAACATTTCTCATACTATTAGAATTCAGCGCAACTGAAAGACCTTAATAAAAGGGAGTTAAACTTCCAGAAAATGCAAGATTTAACAAGCAGTTGCTAGAATATCTCATTAATCCTCACACACTGAAGAAACACTATAAGGGACTAAGTATGAATGATATATTTAATACATGCAGGAAAAGTGAAAGAAAGGTACGTACTTTGTTCAAGATGATCTGGGTGAATACTAGGACTTATAACCTCTGCCCTTCTTGGCCAAAATCTCATTACAGCATGGACACCCCAGGACAATTGAGCAAATAGCTTTATTAGGAATATTTAAGGTTTTCTCAGATAAATGTTTCTGTTGCCTAATACACATGTATAGACTGTGTTAAATTATCCAGAAGAAGCAAATTATTTAGTCCTTCTAGGAACACCTGCATATGCCAAGCAGTAGGTTAGCCTTCGTTCTTACTAATACTTTTTTTCTTAAAAGGTTTTTTTTTAAATTATTGTAAACTATACATCTGTGCTTAATTAATGAACAGTGCACACAATTTTCTTCTAGACACAGACACAATGAAACTTATACAGACCTAAAGAATAGAAATAGGATTATAAGAAGAGCAGGGGTGAGTGTACATAATATACAAGTTTCCCCAAATTTGGATATTATTTGACTACAAATTTGTTCTAATCATAGGATTAAAATAAACCAAAAAGTATTCCTAAGGATCACTGTAAATCTAAATGCCCTCACAATGGTTTTACATCCTCCTTCTACTACACCTGTTCACTACATGTCTACACCCGCATTTTCCATGAAAAAAAAGTGGGTTTCATGGTGAAATTATTTACCAAAATAAGAATTAAAAGAATAAAACTTCTATACTACAGGGTTTTGTAGAGTCTTTAATTGCTAAAGTGGATTAAAACATTCCATTCTCTCATTCCTTCCTCTTTCCATTTTTCTTTTTTTCTTTCCTTCATGCTCTACTCTGTACTTCATCTCTTGTCTCCTCCTTCCTTTCTTTCTCTCATCCCCAACCCCCAGCCTCTTGGTTTATTTGGCTTATTTAGAGAGACACAGCTTTACCCCAACTCCCTCTGAAAGACATCCTCAGAGAGGGCCATCCTATCTCTCACACCTGCCACTGGCCCATTCCAGCAAAGCCCTTTCCAGATGGGCCTTCACATCGCCTGCAGCATGCCGGGAGCCCAGAGCCTCTGCCTCTTCTGCTTCATCTTTCTACTGCACATTGAGTCACAGGAACACCCTTCCCAGGACTGGGGGAAGTAGGGTATCTCTTCAGGCAACACTCTTTTCTCCCTACAGCTATTGGCCAATTCTAGCACGACTACAGCCATCCCATTAAAATTCATATTAAAACATTAGGAACATTCAAATTCACATTGGTGCCATGCATTTATAAAAGACACTAGAAGAAAAAAAGGAAAAACTTCCTATCCCTCTCTTTCAGTAACCTTTAAGAGAATTTCAAAAGCCCGTTCTCATGATTATTTATCAAATCCTTGAGTCATGGTATTTGATATATTGAAGAAACTGTAAAGATTACTGAAATCTAATTTTTACAAATAAAGAGAAATCTGGTATGAATGATTTTAAAACAACTACTCAAAATACTAAAGCAATCAACAAATCAACACCATAAAGGAAACAAACAAAAATGATGAAAGAGGATAAAGAAAGACTTACTTTTACCACAAAGTAAAAAGAAACAAACAAACAAACAAACAAAAATACCCCAAACTCAAAACCAGGCAGACCAAGAAGCCTCACTACTACATGGGCAGGTATTAAATATTAATTGGATATGAATGTAATAAACAGAAGAGAGTTCCAAAATTAATGAAGCCCTAGTAATTAAAATGACTATAGATTTACTTGGTATTTGTCTCAGTGTTTGTATTTTATCTCTTCAGTTTTGAAGTACTTTTTATAGCTTAAAAATTTGTATCCAAAGTTCAGACTGCAGTCATATTCTCTATAAGAGCAAAATCGAGATTCTGGGAACAGTCAACCTGGCTACTTTATGCATCTTGAGTAAGTGGGGTAGTTAACATGAGAGTTGAGAATTTACTTGAGTCTCAAGAGAATTGAAACTTTTGAGGTGAATGTATTATAGTGATTTACATACAGACAATCTGATTTCTTTGCTTAAAAAGGACCACAGTTTCCTCTGGGTCTTACTGTTTATTTCTGAGCAATTAAAAAATAATCTATATCCTTTGGGGTTTTATTTCCTCTGCCCAGGAATGCTTTTCAGCAGCTCATTTTGTAATGTTGATAGCAAGGTTTAAGGATTATTGGTAGGCAAGGAGCTTTAGGGAATTGTTTTGTCCATAACTAAAAACCACTTCTTCAACTTCAATCCCAAATTTCCTTCATAGTTCCCAAGGCCCTTTAACCATGTGAGTCTCTCCCTGTTTCTTAGAGATAGCTTTAGCTGTGTTCCTCATTAAAACAATGCTGGTCTCCTGGAGCACAGTCATACTATGTAACTGCTCAGATGCTGCTACTTTATTAATCAAACATCATTTTCACCTTGTCCTCCCTACTTTAATTAAACCAATAGCATCATCTATGAGTTGGACATTGGCTAGATAAGTGGGGAGAGGACCCAGATCTGTTAAGAACCAGATATATCTGTCTTCTAGGAACTCAACATACGTTGGGGATTGATCGTGTGACCAGTCCTCCAGTTTTTCTAATATTTTCTATTTTTCTATTTTTTGCTTTCCTCACTTAAGGTCAGTCTTCTTACTGATGTTATAAACAGGCAAATTTAGTTCAGTGAAGATGCCTTAGCTGTCATATGCACAGAAGTCACACATCTGGCACATATTGTATGGTCCAGATTAGTGTAATTTAACAGGACATTATATGATGTGCTAAAAAAGAGGTAGAGTATAGGAGGGATTGTGCCCAACATGAAGTAATCTGAGAAAACTGAAGACAGGAACAGGATTTGCTAGTTAATTCTGAAGTAACAGGTAGAATTTTGATAGGCACAGCAGTAGGTGGATGTGTTTTAATTTAGATTTAGAGACTATCTTAAAAGCTTCAGGATGGAGACAGGTA